TACTGAAGCCCGGAAAGTGGAGGCAAGCTGCTGCTAAAATCAATCGTCAGAAATAATCAGCATCAAAATACAAAATGAACTTCATATCAATAAGCATTTTTCCAGTTATGAAACATGACTGGATCCATTCAAATGCAAGATGCCAGGGACAGACTTGAAAGGTATTTCATGGCTGTGGTTTCAATTGTGCAGCAGCTACTGTGATGGAATTTTATCCTACTGTGCTAGAGTCTCTGGGTGGTATAAAAGGAAAGCCAACACTGTATTTAATTTTCTCTCTCCTCCACTGTAATTCTTTTTCCATTACACACAAATACTAGAAAGCCATAAGGATGAGAAATAAATTAACAATTCTGAAGCCTGATTTATAATCACAGATGATAGCAATAAACAGCAGAATACCCTACCGCATCAGTTACAGGACTTCAGGCATAAACCAGGGAGAATAGTAACATTCATGATATCACACCAGTGACAAAGGTGAAGCAATTCAAAAGTTAGAGAAAAGCATTTTAAAAAATAATGTCATGTTTTGCATAAAAAAGAAATTAAAAATTATCTCCAACACTCATTGCATTTTCCCTACTACCTGGCTACCCCATGGAACCAATATGAACTTTTACCATACTGAGAACAAAGTGGTATTTCATATCTTTCCAAGTATAATCAACATTTATCATTTATTAATCAACAAATACAAACATTGTTGCAGTTGTAAGGTACTATGTAACCATCCATAGTCTTTACAAAGAGAAAAAAAAGGAAAAAAATTGACTAAACCAAAATCCTTCTATTTTCTAGGTGGATTTTGATTCAGTATGCACTAAATATGACTCAGTATCCTGATAAGGTAGCACTAATTCTTCACTAATTATCAAGCCTACAAGTTATACTATGGTAGTATTACATAAAATAAAGTTAGATTTTTATTCTGTTTTTTTATCCTTTAGGCAAACAATCTTGCTTTAGGAGAATTATTCTAGCCCTGTGGAAAATTCTCTTTGGCTTTCACACATACATGAAGGTCATGTTATAGGTAGTATGCTATAAACTGCTGTATAATTGAAATGCAGATATATAGATATCCCAGATACATGTTTTTTTCCCATTGTATTATCACTCTGTACTGATTCAAAGTAGTAACACTTCAACAGAGACCTCAGTAGATTCTCCAAGTCTAAATTACCTCCAGTGGCTCTGCCAACTACATAAGGGGACTCCTCAGACATCTAAACTGTGTCAAAATAAATTGTGTGAGTACTTATCTTCTTACCTTTCATTTTCTGACACTTAGGTTATCAGAAAGAATGTGCACTATTTGAGAAGAGAGAAACAGGCACCTGGCAGTTTATAAGCCATTAGGGTAGCAGGATTGCATTCAGTTTACAGAACTGACTTTATCTGGATCAAGAAAAATGAGAAAAATTGTCCAAAATCCTTTAAGGAATTTTTTTGCTTTAATAACTTTCCCATTAAAAAAAAAAGTAAGTGCTCTGATAAGCAAGGAATTAGAAAAATGTAAACCATGAAAGCCAAGCTAGTCCCAAATCAAAAGGACTCCTATCCTGAAAGCCTGTCATTGCAGATGGACCATCCTAACCACACAATGCCTTACTCAATTTGAAAACAGCCTACATCAAGGGATCTGACTGCAGAATTAGGACATTCAGATTAACAAAACTGTAGGAACATCCCTGCAGTTCTTTTTTTTGTTTGTATTGCATTTCTCATCACAAAGTCCTTTTGCACCTGTAAAACAGTATCCAGTTTACCTTTGAAAAGGTGTAGCAGATAACTATGTTACTGTTTTCTGATAATACACCAAGTATGTTTCCTTGCTCTATATTCAACATACACGAGAAAATTATGTGGTAATCAACATGACTATAAGTCAGATAAGCATGAAGGAAAAATAACAGAAGGAACCATTTTGCTAAGAGGAAAAAAAAAATCCAGAAAAAAAGCAGAACCTTCATGAATGTTTAAGGAATAGCTATAATTTTCTTTCCAATAGGTTTCTGACAGCAGAATTAGAATAAGTAACATTGATGTACTGAGTTTCTGATGCACAAAAAGAGGATTAGACCTGTCAAGTCTTTGGGCAATAGCCTAAACTGTTTTCTAAATGTTGTCTCCCAGGAAAAAAAAAAAAAAAAAAAAAGGCAGGACAGAAAAAAGACCAGAAAACTGAAAGAATGACATTCTGTGTAATCAGGAACTAGCACACTTCACTTCCAGCAAGCCTTTTGAAAATTGTTTTAAAAGTTCCACAAAAAACACCACTCAACACTGATTATATTTTTTGTGGTTTACTATAAATAATCCCAAAGAAAATGAAAATTGGGTAAAGGGATTTATTATTTATGACATGACATTGTTTCTGATACCATAGTCACAGAAAGCATAAAGAAAGATGATTCTTCTTAATAGATTTTGCATTTTTAGATTCTTGTCTACATCTTCTTTCTATCTTCTCCTCTTACCTAATAATTAACAACGTATTTTACTATATCATTGGATGAGTTTTTGAAGATTGATCAGATTTAGTCTTTCCTTTTATTTCTTTTCTTTTTTTTTTTCCCAAAACTCATTTTGTATTTGGCATAGATACTCTAGAAGAAAGGAATGTCCTTTTCCTGTTTAGAGTAAGTTTTTAAAAATAATTTGTAAAAATTTTATACTAGAATACTTTTTCTGGAAAGAAAAAATTAAAATGAGATTTGGCATTCCAAGACCTAAAACTTACATTCCAGTGGAAATTTTAAACTAGGTCACAAATGACAGCAATTTATTAGACTGAAGAATAAAAAGTTTAAACATATTTCTGGTAAGAATCAATCTGTTCCTTCAACCTTCTGAACATTTCAATGCAAAACTTTTAATATCTGCTATAAAACTCTTCTTCTTCACAGTGTCTGGAAAAACTTGAGTCTTTTTCTAATTGTATCCTAAGAAAGTGTAGTTGCTATAGATTTTCTTCTCTCTATATCTTCCTGCTTAAAATGTTTTTGTGAATGTCTTATAGGAACAAGAATCATGATCCTTGCAAATACCAGATTTGGGCTGTGCATTGTCACGATGACTTGGTAGACCAATCTTAAAGAGAAATGTTTTACAAAGTGCCTCAGACAAGCACTAAATGCAGTGAATAATCATGCAGTAATTTCTTTGAAAACAATTATACCTGAGGGAATAAAGTAAGTAAACATGGCTGAATATGGTTGGTGAAACTTTGATTCCTTCCCTCCCTAAAGGGATGCAGTTCATATGTGAGGTTTTGCTGGTGTCTCTGAAACTAATTAAAAAGAGCCTTCTTTATCTTAGAGGTATTGCTGGGGTTTTTTGGGGGGGGAGCAGCGAAGGGCAATTAAGCAGTGCTAATGAAATCTACCAATTTTACCATAATCAGCTGTCAAGACTAAACAGAAGGCAAAAAGGCTAAGATGGGGAAAGAAAAAAAAAAAAAAAGGAACTACACAGTAATATACAATTTCAGCCACATTGAGAGATACTTTACTTGGAATAACTCAGGACAGAGATGTCTGAGCCCCTGCAGAGTCTGGTTCATAGCTGCTACTGACTGAAAGTTTTATCAAAGATCCCGTCCTGCTATGGATGCAATGAGATACCCCAAAACTGCACAATTCTTTTACTGAAACCTTCAGTCAAATTGAGTGTAAAAAGAAAGCAAAATTCATACTGTACAAGCAACTAGATTCTAGTATTGTCTTGCCATGTAATTGTTTTTGACTTACAAATCCTAAATTAGTTTCAATTGCACTGTGATGTTAAACATGGGCTTCTTCAGCAATTAACAAGGACACCAAAAAGTTGAGCCTGTGCTCATTGTTGATGTCTATACGTAGGCATTTCCTCCTTGAACCAATTTGTGACATGCATGACAACTTTAGTTCTGCTACATCAACATGTTCTGAGGTTAACTGATATCCAAGACAATTTAAATTAACTTGGGGACAGAATCTGAAAAGCTACTGCACAGCGGCAGAAATGTTGCCAACCTTCTGCATGCTCTTGCTGCAAAGAGGTGCCTAAAAGCACTCCTTCCATGCACCACTGAAATACACATTTCTCCAACACTCTGATTTCCTTATCTAGCCATGTTGCAGCCCAACTACACTGCTTAATGAAGCGTGTTCCAGCAGGTTTCTCATTTGCTACTATCGGAAACCGCGAAGGCCATTCTCCCCGAAATGGAGTCTCCTCATCTCTCTTGGTGAAGGCGTATGGCTCTGCACACTCCTGAACACATGAACCATTAACTTCTGACTGATGTTGCCTCAAATACAATTAAGTAATTAAGAAGTTTTAGGGCCACACTCCTATTGCCCATTTTACTCTGCTAAAAACTAGAAGCAATGTCAATAAAAAAAAATTTACTATGAATTTGCAATGGTGCAATTCAAAACCAAACTATACGTGACCAGTTCTTCTTAAGTCAGAGTCAACATGCTTTGTACTTGACTGTGAAAAAATACAAATTATAAATAAACTTAAATGGCAACAGAAGTATGTTGTAAGAATATCTAGGATGTACAGCACTGGAGTTGGAGACATTAGTGTTCTATAACCTATTATCAAAAATAAATGATGGAGGGAAATAGGAGGTATTTTCAGAACACATTCCAGCTACTCCTCAACTGCTAAAACAGTCACTTAAAAGGTTACTGCAGCTTGCAACACTTGTGGTTCCCTTGAGACCACTCTGAGTTGTTAATTCAGATTACATCCATGCTTAAAAATCTGATAACTGAGGAACTGTACAGTGTCATCACTTGGCATCAGAAGACAGGTAATGAGCCAGAGCCTTAAGGCAATAACATTAAATTTTAAGATAAAGCAGAACTATGGAAGCTCTGAAGATATAAGAAATACACAACTGTGTTTCTTTTTCAGGAGTATTTAAAATTTAATGCTTGCTTCAGCTACTGACTTAAAATCACAAGCCTCCTCCACCCCACAAGTATCTGGTTGGGACTTACCGTTACTCCAAAGAAGTTGGTTTCATTCATAGCATCCAGAAAAATTTTGCCAAGCTTGTGATTTGTATAGTTAAAATCTTCAATTTTTTGGTGTTTGTTGGTGGCATTGAGATACTTCATTGCCCGCTGCAGAGTCTGGGCGATCACCCATATTCCATCATAGGCATAACCATGAAATTTACTGGATTGTCCATCACCGCGCTTAGCGTTGTATTCCTTTTCATATTGCTGTGGAGTCTGCAGAGGAGAAAAACTCCAGGTTTACTTCAATATTTAACATTTTACAGATCTGGGTCCAAACCTACACCTTGAACCACACTCTCCAACTTGGAGACATGCATCACTATTACAGAAAAGACCACCAAAACAAACATTAAGGAAGATACATGTGCTGCCTAACTTACAAGACTGATGGTGAGACAGGGTGGGAGACCTAGGAGACAGAGAGACTGAAAAGCAGCAGTTCTGCTTCTCTGTATGAAGGATAACTTGCTTCATTTTGCCTTCGTACAAAAGACTTCAGTTAACCAAAGCTACCAGCATACTGGTGAGCCCTAATGCTAGAACAGAGAATAAGTCTGTATCCCTGCAAATTAGTGGTCCGAGTACACTGTATAGGATAATGCAAATCAAATAACTTTTACCTGAGCAACTATTTGCTTAACATGAAATTATTTGAGTGGCAATTTGTCTATGTTTCACAAGTTTGCTATGCTCTTTATGGTATGCTATCTTATGATGAGTTGCCTTTTTATAAAGTTGCCTTTTGTGCTCACTCAGCAAGGCATGAAAGACACATGAAAAAAGATGAAAAGTAGCAAAATCAGCATGTTTATTCATTGGCCAGAGTTTGCATACATTTGTTCTGTGATAAAATGTTATGTACTTTATACCACATATTTACATGTTTAAAACAAGCCCCATCCCCTAGTTCTGAGAGGCACAAATCACCAATGAAATTAGCCATTTGCAGGATTATGGTTAACCATAAAAGTTTTCTGTTTCTGTGCTCAACTACTTAACTTGGCATGATGCAGCATGTGATACTGCAGACTATAATTCAAGCTTTACTGTACATTTAACTGTAATGTTCATACAGGGGAACAGGAGAGATTTGAGGCAAGGGACTTTACTGCTTCCTTGCCCTGTAGAGAATTGGAATTGATTTTTAATTATTTAAAAATTGAAAACTAGTGGAAAGATGAGAATAACCATGAAGACTGCCAGCTCTCTGCAGAAGAACCCCTTAGAGCCCTTTAACTTCACCTCCATCCTCTGTGCTTTGCTGTGTGAAGACACTGGTGAGACAATTGATTGTATAATAAAATGGAGGAAAAATACTAACCCTTCCTGATATGGTCTTTGTCTTTTTTGAGCTGAGAGGCTCAAAATCCACTCCAATATAACCTTCCATGGCTGCAAGAAGATTTTTGCTGAGACATTGTGAGGAATTAATCCAGGATTCCCACCAAAGGTTTTCATACCACCCTGGTATAATCCACTGGTACTTGCTGCCATACATTTCTTCATCATAAGCCTACAAAGAAAAAAAAAGTAGAAAAGCTAATGGACATAGTAATAGACGTATTGAACATAAAAGTATTTGTTTTCTGTTCATGTTTTTTCCATTATTAATTAAATTATGGCATAATTGAAGGATACACAAGTATTTTGAACAGTTTAGAATGATTATTTGCTTACAATGAAGACTCCTTTCTTGAAGACTCCTGTCTTTAAAATTCAGGTCATGAGAAGAGAATATGCTAAAACCTATTTTGCTTTCAATAGACCATTTATTCAAAAACAGAAAAATAAAATACTGAATTCTAAACCTGGGGAGATAAAGAGGAACACTGGCAGGAGGCAGAATATTTACGTAAAAAATTCTCTGTAACACAACTATTACCTAAGTGGTAGGACCACCATGATACCATGTTTAAACTAAGTTATTATCATCCTAATATCATCCTGAAGACCACATAAAACAGGGTAAGGTAAACCAAGAAAACTTGGATCCTTGGCACCATCAAATCACAGTGTTGCAAATATGAATTTTGTGACTGTGCTAAAATGGAGACCACAGGGACATTAAGTAAGCAGTTTCTCCTGAGGAGTATGAATCAATAGTAAATTGTTAAAGCAAGAAAATCTCAGTGATTTCTTTTTTCCAATAAGAAATTTCTTCAGGTGAAATTCCATATTGTTTGAATACTGAATACAGCCCAATGTACTTCAAGATACTGAGATGATGGTTATCTCCTTACAATGCATAGCAGATACATATAACAGGAAACAGAAATATTTTATTAGTCAGGCACATATGCTGTTGTGCTTAAAAGCTGATCTATTCACAATAGATATTCTATTCCATTGTGTGGAATAGTGTTCTAGGATAAAATTAGCAAATTTTATCTCAGATGTTTCTCTCACTGTCTTGTAACTAGATATTTTTCTTTTGACATTTCAGTCAGACTCCATTTCGAAACAGCAGGTTTCATGCTTCTTTGGCTCCTAATATAAGCAATACTGGAGATACAAGACATACTTAAAAGATAAAAATTCCAATTTTTAGAACTACATGGTGCAACCTTAGAGTTCTTAACAGGAAAACTGCTACATCTTCACAGAAAATGTTACAGAAGGATGAAATTATGAGAATGCAAACAGGACATATTAGTCATTCAGAACATAACTGTTTTGAAAAGTATCCCAAAGATCATACCAAAAGCCTATCAGAAAAACAGAGATGAACAGCAAAAAACCCACAAAATAGGACAGCCTCCTGAATACGTTAATACCCAAATTAAAATTGAGCTTTAAATCTATAAAGGCTACTATAATGGTGTCAACTTGGTTCATAAATGTATTGTGCACAAAGCAGATTTGTTTGGCCCCTGGTTGCAGGAGCTTTTGTTCAGCCAAAATCAAATTTCATGCATTTGTATACAGTGCTGCTTGAAAGCGCTCCTGTCTGAAACCCTGTGTCTTGCATCTCATATCTTACTTATTCCACAATCCACATAAATTACTTGTCTTTCTCTCACTTATTAATTCTATCCTCCCAGAAACACATCTCTTTTTGCCCTCCTGCCCATCTCCACTCTTACAGCTATGGCTACACCACATCCCAGGCCCAGCTGCGAGGAAAACAGCAATCCCATCCTGCAACATCTTCTGATGTCTAAAAGAGTTTCCATTACACAATGAGGTCATTCAAGACCTTTCAGTGACACAGTGTCTTTTATTTGGCAGTTTTCAAATCACTGAGGACACAAATTAACACAGAATAGTGCTTTTAGAGAAGGACAATGATCAGTAGCTTTCCTTGCTCTACACAGATTAAAGTATCAAATTGTGTGTTGCAAGAAAGTATTGGCTACGAACTATTCTGAAATTGGAGCTGTTGGAATTTTTCTTTGCACTTGAGCCTGCTTCCTGCATAATATGCAAATGTCCTGGGATAAGGGCTGAAAATTAAAAGTTTCAAAATAGCCAGAAATTCCATCCTGAAAACAAGGAATCATTCCCAAGGTTGCACTGAAACTTTCACATTCCTGTAGGAATTTGGTTACAAGTCTAGATTTTGCTATAAGAAACCAAAACCCAAACACTTTAAGAGCTGGCAACTCTTCATTCGAGATCTGGTGGAATGGTAGAGTTTGAAGAGTAATCTGGGGAAGGTAAAAGAAGGAGGAACAAAATCAGCTCCTCCAAAGCTGAGCACCATGACCATGCAGTCACTTTTCTAGTGACACCACAGTTATTAGTGTTCAGGCTTTTCAGTGTTTGGGTTCCAGAAGACTTATTTAAAAATAATGCTTTCTGCCATCATTTCTTCCCTGTTGATTCTGCTAAATGGAGATTATTTTGATGCTTAAAAGATACATTTCCTTGAAATATCCATATCTTTCTTGAACTGTTTGAATGCACACAGACCACTTCTTACAGGTTTTAGTTTCTAAGGTGAAGATTTGTTGGCACACAAGAGTAAGGCAAAGAAGGTTTACAAGTACTTTGTACCATCATAACAGCATAAAGTAGTCATATGTCTTCCCTAATCTTTTTCGTGTGCCCTACCTAGGCTGCAAAGCCCTGAGTTGCTGTCAAGCAGCCAGGAAACTGTCCTGGACATTTTCTGCCCTTATGAGACTGATTTTATTTTTTTTTTAAACCTTTCATTCTTGTTTGAATCCATAAAGAGATGCTTATTTACAACAAAGAAATTTCTGTAAGAGATCTTTCTACATGTAGTAAACAATTACTAGCAGTTTGTTCAAAAGAGCCTGCAAACCCTTACTATCATTGAATTTCCATCATGTTTCCAACATGACAGCATGGACACATCCTATACCCCACCCCTACAAGAATGCCTGTAGACTTCTGAATTGCAATGAACCTCCATCTGTTTCTCATTAAAAATCAATAGTGCCTTTAATTCCAAAACAGAGACTCAGCAGTAAAACTCTATCAGCTCAAGAAGAATAGTGTCCCATCCTTTTGTGTCAACCGTGCTGATTAAACCTGACTTTAGTTATTGTTAAATGTTTACTAAAAGAGACACACAAAGCTCATGCAGAGACCTATGCGTAATAGTCATTTTCTTTAATTGTCTTCATAATTGTATCAGCTAGGCATCAGTCTTGATGTGTGGATGGCTATACTGCATTATCTCTATGGTTTAAAGGTAATATGTTGAAAAAAAATCCCATTAACAATTTTTTAAAAATAAAATTTTCTGCAGAACTGAAGTTTTCATTGGGAAGGTGCAATTTCATATTAATCCAATTTCAAATGAAAAAAAGATGATGTCTATCCAACATAGTTGACCATTTTGATTGTTGAAGTGTTAAGTTTTGAGCAAAATACGCTAATTTCTATTCCATGAAAAATATCACATTCATCCCAGTGAGGTGAAAACAACATTAGAAACCTAAGATTTCCCATAGTATTAAAATTGTTAACTGCTTTTGACATTAGTGTTAAATGAATAGCTAAGCTTATTTAAAACACCATAGGAAACACCTGCTAACATTCACTTTGGTTTGAATTAGTCCTGTCATGTTTTTAAAGTTTGCCACTAAATTAGACTATCTTTTAGTCTATTTATCTTTAAGTGCTCTGCATCTTTTGTGTGTGTGTGTGTGTGTTTTCAGGAGGGAGGGACAGGAAATAGCCAGGCAAAATGAAAATGAGCATATGTGCTGGTTTTGGCTGGAATAGAGTTAATTTTCTTCTTAGTAGCTAGTACGGGCCTACGTTTTTGATTTGTGCTGAAAATAGTGTTGATAACACAGGGATGTTTTCTTTATTGCTGATCAGTGCTTACACAGAGTCAAGGCCTTTTCTTCAAGAGTTAATTTTCTTCCTAGCGGCTGGCACAGCACTGTGTTTTGGATTTAGGATGAGAATAATGTTAATAGCACACTGATGTTTTAGTTGTTGCTAAGTAGTGCTTACACTAGTCAAGGACTTTTCAGCTTCTCATGCTCTGCCAGTGAGGAAGTGCAGAAGCTGGGGGGACACAGCCAGGACAGCTGACCGAAACTGGCCAAAGGGCTATTCCATACCACAGGACCTCATGCTTGGTATTTAAACTGGGGGCAGCAATCGCTGCTTGGGGACAGGCTGGGCATCAGTCAGCGGGTGGTGGGCGATTGCACTGTGCATCACTTGTTTTGTATATTCTTTTATCATTATTTTTTTTTTCTTCCTCTGCTGTCCTATTAAACTGTCTTCATCTCAGCCATGGGTTTTACGGTTTTTTTTCGATTCTCTCACCCATCCCACCGCAGGGGCAGGGGAAGGTGAGCGAGCAGCTGTGTGGTGTTTAGTTGTCAACTGGGGTTAAACCTCAACAGCTCTCTCACCCCACCCCACCAGCAAGTAGGCTGGGGGTGCACAAGAAGTTGAGAGGGGACACAGCCAGGACAGCTGACCCAGACTGGCCACAGGGCTATTCCATACCATATGACAACATGCTCAGCATATAAAGCTGGGGGAAGTAGAAGGAAGGGGGAGGGGGGGCGATGTTCAGAGTGATGGCGTTTTGTCTTCCCAAGTAACTGTTACGCATGATGGAGCCCTGCTTTCCTGGAGATGGCTGAACACCTGCCTGCCGATGGGAAGTAGTGAATGAATTCCTTGTTTTGCTTTGCTTGCATGTGTGGCTTTTGCTTTACCTGTTAAACTGTCTTTATCTCAACCCAAGATTTTTCTCACTTTTACCCTTCTGATTCTCTCCCCCATCCCACCATGGGGGACATGAGCGAGCAGCTGTGGGGCGCTAAGTTGCCAGCTGGGGTTAAACCATGACAGCATATAAGCTCCAATGGATGTCATGAGGAAACCTCACAGCATATGATTGTTGAATCCAGACAGAAAACTGAGGCAGACTTTAAAGATTTTCCCACCTACATAAATCATTAGCAAATAATATTCAGATTATAACCACAATCAGAAAAAAAAAATCTTGCACTAGTACAATAGCACCTTCCTTTAACAAACCCAAAGCCTTTCTCTGGCTGGCATCAGCCACCTGCAAAATATAACAGAGAATCACAAGTGAAACCTGTCTGAAGATATACCTGGGGAAGGGGGTTACAAAACTTGACATATCTAAATTATTGTGCTCTTAGACACATAGTTGTAGGAGTGCATGAGTCAAAAATATATTTTATGCCTAATAACAAGCTTACTGACATATTGTAGTCCATTAATATATAAATGACTACTCTGAACTGCCCTCTCCTGCATTCAGTCTCCTGCTGCATCTCTCATATAAATACATTTATACAAGCCTAAATACATGATCTCTCAGATTTCTCCAGGCTCCAGAAAAATCCACCTTATTATTTTTGACACTAATGTACTTTAGAAGCAGCCATTGCTCTTTAAACTGCTCTGAGTTATGCACGCTTCCCATGTTCATACCAAACCGTTGCCGCAGAAAGCTGCGCTGGGCGTTTGTGTGAAAGTGACATCCTCCACCTGAAATCCTTCAGGCCAGAGCAGTGCAGACAAGAGGACACCCTGCCCCTTCAAGGACTTCTAGGATTTCTTCAGTGGCCTCACAGGCACACAAACTTGGAAAAGAATTGTAGAGAAAGGCAACTAGATACTAAGGGAAGTGGCATAAGCGAGGCCAATCTCTTGTCTAACGTTGGGTTGGAAGACAGTTCTGACTGGGACCCCTCAGGTGGGGAAAGGCAACCCAACCACAAGAGATCTGAGAAGGAGCTGGGACACAGAAGGACCATTCTTTCTTCCAGGAATGGAAAAATGGGAGATTATCTCTGTCAATCCAATTTAAATGCCAGAAAAAAAAAAAAAAGATCCATATACAAAGACCGATCAAAGATGAGAAGAATGAAAAAGAAAATAATGCTTTCCATTTCCTTTTGGATGCAAACAGATTTTGTTCCTTCCAAATATATTCTACAATCTCCTTTCCAAATTTTGCCAGCAACTGGAACAGCTGCTGAGTAAGAGCCAACATGTGGCTGAGGCACATGTAGCACTCGCATTTTAAACTTCTGCTTTTCCTTTCTTTGCTTGGATAGGTAACTTTGACTCTCTAAACAAACACTAAAAAACACCCTCTGAAATTTAGATGCCATCATTATTGCTTTTCCATTATATTTATTGTGTTCTTGGCTCATACAGGATTAATCTGGTTATTTAGACTAAGAATTCAATACAATACAAAATTTAGGCCTCTAAAATATGCCTGTTTGGGATTTTTTTTTTTTTTTTTTGAGCAGGTACAAATAAAGATCACATTTTAGTCCTGCAACTTTCAATGACAATCACACTGCATATTTGCAGCACATTCACACACACAAACAAATGGTGAAGATAGGGAATTTTATGTATGTTGGATTTACTACATTTCTTTTAATTCAAAAAACTATTTTGTACAAACTAGAAATTGTTTTCATATAAAACATGTAAAAGAAAAGTGAATGACAACTGTACAATTAGCAACATTTTGAGTAGCAGAAATTATTAAGGTTGCTGATTTAGCATGTACAGGAACTGCTTGAATTTCTTATTCTTTCAAAGCAAAACACACAAAACCACATACATGCAGACATTACCACCAGAACACGACTCTTGGACAAGACTGAAATCTTGCAGTTCTCTGTATCTGCTGCTACATATACAAACGTTTCCCTGGATCTGACATGAAGACAAATGCTCAGGCTCAACTGGCATTTAATTCCACTACAGGAAAGCAATAAGAAGAAGCTAACCATACAGTCCATGCCTAAATTCCACTGAAGTCAAGTACAAAGCATTTTATTGAAACAGAAATGAAGCTAAGCATGTGTAATCTCTCTTGATGATATAAACCTTGACAGAGCTGAACTCCATGAAGAAATCTTTATGCTCAAATGTATTTTTTATTCAACACATGTAACACATTCCTTATTCTGATATGCAATTAAATATATTTACTTACACAGCAGAAAACTTTCACAGCCATTTCCTCATCAAACTGGCCAAGGATTATCCGAACGTCATTACCCTGCAGATCGAATAAAATACGTGGCAGTTAAATACAGTCACAGCCTTCCCAGAGACCACTTCAGTTGGCCATTCAAATCATGTAGAGAGTTAGCACAGATTACAGCTGAAGACAGGAAAATTAATTCAGAATTATTCAATTTTCTGTAAGTTCAAGAATTTGAAATACTGCAAGAGAGAGCAGCTGAGGTGTTTGAAGAAAATGATTAAGCAATAACACTAATGAGAATAGAAGTGTAATGTTTATCTTGTCAAATATTACTATTTAATAACACTAAAGTATCAAATATTCTTTTGATCTCTTGCAATATTTCTTTTAAAATTTTGCATACTAAAACCAGCTGAAAATATATGCTTTTCACTGTTTACATGAACTAATGCTGTAAAGTTGAGAGATTGGAGATTTGTGAGATAAAATGCCTTGATATTGTGCCCGCTTTAGTAATTTTTAAAGGTTTTACTCATACAACATCTTCTCTACAGTCACTATAACACATTGTCAATCCCTCCTCTCCTCCTCCCTCCCACCTCCACACATTAAAAAAAAATCATCACACTTTAAGAATCTATGACTGAAGTCAAAAGAGATCATTTTACTTTCATACTTATGAACATATTAAGAAAATATTCCTAAATTCAGGAGCATATGCAGGAAAATATTTCTTCAGGAACTGGGCTAGCTATTCTCCCATGTGAAAAATTGCTGCTAACATCTATAAAACACAGAACAGATAGCTTTTTATGACTTAATATTACCTTTTATTTCCCACAAAAGCTGAGTTCTCAGCAAAAGCCTGAGCAAATCTAATTTTTCATTTCTTTTATAAAACACTTGGTTAGAATTACTAATAGCTCTTTCC